TATATTAATATATATTATAGCTACGTCTGTGACGGGATATATTTTGGCATATTAGTATATATTTTTAATACGGAATGTTCAACTTTTCTCTTAACGCCTGCCCGATCTCCGGCTCAAGTGCGCACGAGCATTTCTCCCCCACCCTCCCTCTCCTAAAATACTGTGCAAATTTATTGGATGACAAAACACGATACAAATGAAATTCACCACAAGTTTTCTTTTGTTTTATATGCGACTCTACCCAGATGGTTATATTTTTCGTTCCTGACAAGGCAACATGCATATCAAATTCAGCATCGGAATCATCCTCTGAGGAACTTTCAATTAAATCTAAAAGTAGTGCTCTTGTCGAATTCATTTCATTCATTCATTGTAAGATTGATTATAACGTTATTTCAAAATTAAAACACCCTGTGCTAGAAAATAAGCTTTAAAACCGTGCGCTTGCAAAAACGACCGCAGACCGAGTGAGGGCAAAATATATATTATAGTATAGCTCCCGTCTGTGGTAGTTAGCTATAATATAATATATATTTCGATATATTAATATATATTATAGCTACGTCTGTGACGGGCTTTATAGTGCGACGTAAAAAAATGCACTTTTTTAAAATTTGGTCGGATAATCAACGCTTTTTTCGTTAAAAGCGTTTAATTAAACGAAGTCGAAAAGCAGTACGCTTGTCACTGTGACGGGGTAAGAGCGCGTGGGTGTTGTACGGTGTGTTTGCATGCTTGCTTGTGTTAATGCGTTTCGTGTATTGGTTTAATGTGCATATAAAATAGTTAAAAGTATGTATATAAAATCAATGAACTGTTAAGTACGCCTGGATCACGAGTATATTAACTCCAGACAATCCTAAGCTTGTAAAGTACGAAGGAAAGTTCATTGACTATTATAAAAATGTTTATTATAAAATCTAAATTCAATTGAAAATCTTTCGTTTTTAATGCCAATTAATTCATTAGGTTTAAAAAAACTTTTGACGTGACAACGTCTTAAATTAGGTTGCGGCTGGGAGTCACTTATGAAAAAGTGTAACGCTCGGTAACGTTACGATGAGTCTCTCGTGTTAAGTTTAAGTTTACATGTACAATGTTTTAGTAAACAAAATATATTTCTATAGTTAAAATTTGTGCAATTCTTATTTTCATTCAATTCCTTGTTCCTATTGTGCAATTTAATTATATTCATATCAATAAATATTCTACCGAGAAAAAGACGTTGTCACGTAAAATCTTCGCCCGTAAAACCGACTTTACAGGCAACCATTTTTTTAATAAAAATTTCATTCATAAGAAGAAAAAAATGCAATAAAACACTTAAACACATTAAAAACGACAATAAGCTTTTCACGCTTTTTTAAACGATATAAGTACCTAAACGAAAACACAACATAACGTCGCGCTTTTTACGCATGCTTTTAAACGTTTAAGCCAATAAGCGTTTAAACGAAAAAGCTTTTTTTCAAGCGCGCTTATTTTAAAAAGTACAACGCTTAAACGCTTTTAAGAAATAAGCCGTTTTTTCCATCTCTGTTCACAATGCAGTCGTTAGCACCCACTAAATAGAGATTCTATTTCTATTTTGTTGGTAGATTTTCTTAATGTGCGGTAAACACAAAACAACAGCATGAAGTTGGTCGCTAAAGCGACCAACTTCATGCTGTTAATTTTTGTGTTACAGTGATGCGCGCGCATCTTAAAATTTCACTCTCATCATTTTTTCATAACGCGCCTAAAGAAGTATAACTTCAAAAATAAAGCGTGCTGCAACCATACATAATGACTGAAGTGATGATTTTGCTCAGAGAGAAAGACACTGATTTTCAGCTGTAACGAAGTTACTTAAACTATTAACGGTTCGCGGTAACATGTGCTGAGCTCAAAGGGAGATTAAATTTCGGCCAGATGAATCAATCGAAGAATGAAATTTCGAAGATCTGCCTCAAAACGGCTCTGGTTTTTATCAACAATCCTTACTCGTCCGAGGCTAACACTCTAAGTGCCAAGGTTTGCAAATTTTTAAGGTAATTTTTTATATAAGTTTAAATGTTTCGAAAAAACCTAAGATAATAAAAATAGGAAAAGATATGTAATTCTAAATAGCTGGTAACAAATAAAACCACGGGCGGAGCGGCCGAATCTTCACCCCGATAGAAAATTGATGTGTGTCTTTTATAAATCAATAAAGAAAACAAATTTAAATTCGGCTTGTTTTTTTTTACAGTACCTATTAGGTTTAATACTAAAATGCGCCATCTAGTATTAGTTTGAATTATTATCTATCAAACTGGTTTACGTATATATGAATTCTCGATAGAAAATGTATGTGTGTCTTGTATAAACTAATAAAGAAAACCATTAGTTGTTATTTAATTGGTTTTGCATCTAAAATAAAACAAAATTATAATTTTAACTGTTTAAGTTAGTGCCGTCTAGTAAGTATATATTAGTTAGTACGTAAGTGTGTTTATTTCTACTACTTAGATGGCGCTAACATACTGTGGACGTTAGCGTCATCTAGAAGTAAAACCTGATTAGTTATGTATTAATATTTGGTAAGTACTTACTGAAGTAGTTTAATATTACGTCTTTGGTTTTTTAATAAATTCTAACCTTCCCAATGGTGTCAATTCTGGCATAATTCTCTGAATCTAAACTTAAATTCGACAACAGCCTATCCCTGACATTCTCTATACAGAATGAAAAGGAGAGACTGATGTTAAATTTAGATTGAAGATTAGAGAACCCTGCCAGAATCCACAATAAATATCGTTTACTTTGTTACAGTAATTTTTAAATGAATGAACATTTCGAAAAAATTAATAAAACCTAAGATAAATAAATATTTCATACAACATATATGTTTTTTTTGCCGTTTTGTGTTTTATATTAGTAACGGCAACAACAAGTAGACACTTGAAATATTCACAGACTATTTAAAAATAAATAATTAAATAAAAACAACTAAAAATTTACGGTTTTCGCAATTTTTCCTTTATCTGTACTATAAAACGTTACTTCATACCTTACAAGATTCTTAGTTCACGGGGAGAACCTTGTAGGGTTTTGATTCCCGTGCGAGTTTCCAAAAAGCAAACATAGCCTACTAGTCATTATAAATAACGTGTGTTGTCAAGGGCTTAAAATGGAAATCTAACAATTAATAATCTAAAGAATATATCGGTATTTTTTAGTTTAAAATATCTTAAACATACAAGAATAGGCAATCATCAGCGTAGCACTAGGTTACTTTGGTCATATCGCCCGGAGAAAGCCCGATAACATAGACAATATAGTGGTTATGGGTAGGGCTGCCATCTCTAAAATGTGGCAACCAGGATAAGACGCGTGATAACCGGATTTTGAAGCCCAGAACCCGGACAGACCAATAAAAAAACAGTTATAAAAATGTCACAAATCAACTTTTTTATGTTGATCTAGGCAAAAGAGCTAGAGGTCTACCTCATAATAAGTGGTCACTGCTGCCCATGGACACTTGCAGCACCAAGGGCCACTCATGCGTTGCCGTAAATTTTTAAACCCTTACTACAAATAAAACCCCGCCCGGACGCTCCCCGGACGCCCCGTAAACTAGGACAACTCCGGGGAAACCCGGACGGATGGCAGCCCTATTTATACCCTTCTTCCTCCATCCGAGGGATGTTTGACCGACCAGTGTAAAAAGTGTCAGTGCTGACTTCCACATTGCAACGAATGCTGTTATTGCGTACAGCGTGAGCGATAGAGCTGATTTTTAAGAGAGAAAAGATTTATTTATTTTCAAAGACATTTAAACTGACGGATTAATTGGCGACCCAAAACAGGAAATTTTAAACCCGGACTACAAATGAAACCGCGCCCGGACGCTCCCCGGACGCCCAGTAAACTAGGACAAATCCGGGGAAACCCGGACGGATGGCAGCCCTAGTAAGAGAGAGAGAGAGAAGTTAGAGCGGCTAGGGATATTCGATATACATCGATGCATCGAAAACATCGCTGTTTGCAATGAAAAACATCGATACGATCCGATGTTTTGAATAGCGACAATAAAAAATAACTACGAGTTTCTATGTTTATAAACATTTAATAACCTTTAGTTTTGTGAAAGAAATTAAGATTGAAGTATATTTCTAATATCCTTTTGACAGACTTAGCAAACATTTTGCGGGTTATTTAGCGTTTTTTTATATGATCTTTTGTAAAAATATGATACAGATTTTTCTGACACATGACTTACTTGTATTTAGTTTTACCTACTCATGATGAAAGGAGTTAATTCTATTATTTTATGAAAGATTAATATATAAACTATAATAAAATTATGGATTAAGGTCTTTTCATAAACTTCAATTGTATTACATTTACACATAAGTTGAGTTTTGTAATAAAATTTCAGAAAAAGTACTCGATGTTTAAAATACATCGATGTTTTCATCCGATACATCGAATGACATCGATGTATAGTTGCGATGAATCGAATCAAAAAATACATCGATGTTTTTTCAGAGTGGACACCCCTAAGAGCGGCGCCACGACACGTTAATATGCACAGGGCTTGACGTGTCGCGTCGTGTCGACTCTCAAACTTTACTTGTATTACTGAAATTGTGGACTTCAAAAACACACTAGTTTGTGTTCCATACATCCATACCAAATAAATAATCCTATCGTACTGGACCGGGCTATACATCCCTTTTTGTCGATTAGCATTATTCTCTAAACTTAAAACTAAATTTGACAACAGTGTATTCTTGTTATTCTCTGTATGTAAACGAGAAACTGCTGTTAGTTAACTAAGTCTTTAGACGTAATCTAAGTAATCTATGGTTTCAAGTTTAGCAAATCATGCCAGAATCGACACCATTGTTTATGGGACTTGCCCAAAACAGAATATCTGTTCCCGCCTTTAAAGACTGCTTTAAATTATGTCCATGGCTGATTATTGTGAAATTGTGATCTTCCTTTATTATTTTTATATGGCAATATTAGTCACCACGCGATTTTGTGTGAATTAATGTCAGCGAGCGAAAGATTCTGGAATAAATTTATAATTTCCAAAGTTTCCTCACATAAAATAAACTCGAAATGTTTTCGCAACAACCAATTTTAGTCTTGAGTAAGTAAATTTAAGTGTATTGTCATAAAGTTAATTCATTTCATGCAAACCATTAAATTTTGCCATATCTTTACAGGCCAAAACACAAAACGTGATTCCGGCCGGAAAGTTCAGCTTGAAAATATTAACGCTGGAAAGGTAAATGGAACGATTAAAGTTTATAAATCAAATATTTTCACTTCCTTGCCACAAATTAGAGTAATTATAGCAAGTGTGATGCCTTTATTTTAGACGATAGCCGACGTTATTCGAACATGCCTCGGCCCTCAGGCTATGTTAAAAATGTTGATGGATCCCATGGGTGGTATCGTGATGACTAATGATGGAAACGCTATACTCCGCGAGATCACTGTACAGCACCCAGCGGCCAAATCCATGATAGAAATCGCCAGAACACAGGATGAAGAGGTTAGACTTTCTTTGTTACTTTAACAACCAACATATTATTTTTTGAATTTAACAGTATTTTTATTGATGAATCCATTATTAAAAGCCTATTCACAAAATTATAACCAGTGCAATATTTTTTGTTTGATAATATTGTGGTATATAAATGGTAACATTTATAGAGAAACATATATGCTCGTCATAATTTCAGGTTGGCGATGGCACCACATCTGTTATAGTTCTTGCTGGCGAGATGTTAGCAGTTGCTGAACCTTTCTTAGCTCAGAACATTCACCCCACAGTAATTATCCGTGAATATAGACAGGCCCTGGAGGATGCTGTCAAGCTATTAGAAGAAAAAATATCTACTTCAATTGATCTGAATGATAGAGAAAAGGTCAAAGAAGTGGTATGTATTTCGTTGTCTGTTCCTATAGGTAATTAAGTCTGACATTATCATCAACAGACATGTTTGATTTTGATATTCAAACAACAACATTGTCATCAACAGACATGTTTGATTTTGAAAGTCTGACATGCTGCAAGCTACAATCAGTATAGAAAACATTATAATCGACAGACACGTTTGATTTTGATATTCAAACACATGTATCAATGTGAACGATATTCAAACACACATATCAATGTGAACAATATTCAAACACACATCAATGTGAACAATTTTCAAACACACATGTCAATGTGTGTTGAAATATCGTTCCTTAAGTTTTATTAACCAATAAACAAGTGAAAAAGAATAAGAAAATATTATGTAGAAACTAAGTAAAATGTGAGCCACTAAATTTTGTAATATGTTGTTCTTCAGATTCGCTCATGTGTCGGTACTAAATATGTGGGCCGCTGGGCAGATCTTGCAGTAGATATTGCACTGGACGCAGTCCAAACTGTTACAGTCAATGAAAATGGCAGAGTTGAAGTTGACATCAAAAAGTAAGTTGAATTATGTGTTTTAAAGATTCATTAGTGTGGATTCTAGCATGATTCTCTAAACCTAAACTTAAATTTGACAGCAGTATATCCTTGTCATTCTCTATACAGAATGAAAAGGAGAGACTGATGTTAAATTTAGTTTTAAGTTTAGAGAATCACGTCAGAATCGACACCATTGTATGACTATTGTTATTAGAATTATTTGACTTTCTGGAGTAATTGCAACTTATGAACACTTATTTTCCAGTGTTTTGTTCCTGCAATAATTAAACTTAGTGGGGTTAGGGTCAGGGTAGACAATGTGATATTCTTGTATTGCAAGTCACTATTGTATATAAATATATTTTTTTATAGTAAAGATAATCTATAATGAAAAGGACTCACTAGAGAAAAATATATGTTTATTCTTACATCTGTATAGTTCTTTGTTAATAACACTAATGACAACTTCTACATTTTTTTTTACTTTTATATTTTATTTATTTTTATCTTAAAGATCAATACAAGAAAATCTATTGTTGTATTGACACTGTAGTCATTACAAAATATAGAGATGTTCTTATAAAGTCAATAAATTTTCACCTGTAATTACAGCTATGCCAAAGTGGAGAAGATCCCTGGTGGGACAGTGGAGGAATCCAAGGTGTTAAATGGAGTGATGGTCAACAAAGATGTGACACATCCCAAAATGAGGCGCTACATTGAGAATCCACGTATAGTCTTACTGGACTGCCCACTCGAATACAAGAAAGGCGAGAGCCAGACTAACATTGAGATCTTGGGTGAACAGGTATGGGCTTAATTTTTCACACAGTATTGATATTTTGAGTATTTTCTCTATAATATCACTATTTCCATGACTTATCTCATAGTGAAGTTCAGGAAATCTTTGCCCAATATGTTGTGATCATGAATTACTCAAAAAATTAAGTCACCTTAGTCTATTTTTATTTTGGGAAGTGGATAAAACAGTGTGTCTCAAATATGATTCAGAAGGCACATGCAGATGTTGTTCCCGGATGAGTCTACAAAGGCAATATCTAATGTAGTGGCTGCATGTTGTATTTTAGGCGCTTTGCAGACGATGGGGCGGGGCGGGCCGGACAATTTCGCCGCGAATAATTAGCACAAAGTGAATCCTATACTTCAAACGCACACAGAGGGCAAAAACACCGCGCCGCAGGTGCCCGGCGGGCACTGGCGGCGCGACATGTCCGCGGCTGCCCGCCGTGGATCATACAAACCAGTTTATATGCAGTAACGCAGACGGCGGCGCGGGGCGGTCAGCTCAGTCCGCGCCATGCGCTTTTTAGTGATGGACTATTCACTAGAACGAACGTCCTGAACTGACTGCCTCTGCCCATCGTGTGCTTTGTGTTGAAGACGCGGTTTTTATTGCTTCGCGGGCAAAAAGACCGCCCCGCCCCGTCGTCTGCAAAGCGCCTTAGAGTTCGAGCCAATTTCGGTCCCAGTAGTGGGAACATTTTTAGGCAGATGAGGAATTCAAGTCAAATCATATAAAATAAAATACCTTTGTTACTTACAAGATAAAATTTTTCAGAACTTCCCTTTTAACTTTACTTGCAGTAGGAAAGACTTGCGTTTTCGAAGAAATTCTACTTACAAGTTCACATATCTTCACTTAAACGTAATGTGGTGTATTACAGGATTTCACTAAGCTTCTTCAGCTGGAAGAAGAACATGTACAACGTCAGTGCGACGATATCATTGCCTTGAAGCCTGATCTGGTGTTCACAGAGAAGGGAGTCTCTGATCTCGCTCAACATTATCTTGTGAAGGCTGGCATTACTGCCATACGAAGGTAAATCTTCCAATAAGTAATATAAGTCATTGGAGATAAATGCTTGGTTTTTGTATTTTTCATAACAGCACCCTTAGCACAAACCAATAAAAAATTCAACTAGTTTAATTACACTTTCAATCTCGATACACTTCTAATGTCAATATTGTATTGAAATTTGAACAGCACCACAACAAATGGAACAGGAATTAAAATATTCGAAGATCGATTTCAACCGAATTCAATATTGGTTCATGCTAAGTATACAGAAAACTGTTGTAGTTTGTGAACCCAGTAAACTTATTTCGAAGCTTACATTAGAAGCTACATTTGATACAGAGTTTTAGATAGCACAAAGGACATTGTTCAGCGTCCATACATAGTTAGCCTAAGAACCAACAATCATGAAATATTATTTTCTAGGTTCAAAATCGCAAGTAAGTGACTGTAAAAACAAAGTTAAAAAATTATTGATAGACACTTCTGAGAACTTAAATTATTAGGAAAACTAAATTTTTTTTGAGGCTATGTTTAATATTCAATGAAACATAGGTCAACCTATGAATTTAGTATGAACTCAGTATGAAGTGAATTAATATTACAACTAATTCATTTTATTAGGTGCGATTTTAAAGAATAACTATTAGGAAAAACTTGGTTAGGAATCATGAATAAAATAAAAAACTGTAGTTTTGCTTCTTATTTATTGACTATTTTTCACATAATTGTATCATATTGTTTATTGCAGTACGATCCTCTCAGGATGTTGTGGCACAGGTTCACTAGCACTTGGTAATAAGGGCTCTGCTCTTTGGTAACATCGATGGCATATTAGATAGCCGAAATAGTTAAATTAAAGGCAAAATAATGCAAATAAACACACACAACAGGTAATCCGAAACGAGAATGCACTTTCCGGTATACTAAACTACTCTTTGGAATGCACAAATGCCACAGGTTACTACGAATGCAAACTGCATGGCACCACAATCACAGAGTAAAAAGTTTTATGCCGGCCCTTCACTTGACAACAGTTTGTCCTTGTCATGCTTAATAAGAAATGAAAAGGACAGACTGATGTCATGTTTTAAATTAGCAAATACGAATAGCCAAGTGAAGTGCCGGCATTAGGAAGAAAGAGTGTTTTGTTTGCAGCTCTGCCATAGATTATACACATCAAATGGTATTTAGTGTCTCAGATTATTTTTTAACTTTTTAATTTAGCTTACTTAACTGGAAGTGTCCGTCACAATCTAAATACTGATAATTATCGCAAAAAATATAGTAAGAATTATCATAAATGCCAAATTGGTGTTGGTTCTTAGGCCAATTTTAACATTGTCCTTTATAGCGTACAAAATTACACCATATCCCCTTTAAAAATTTTTAGGCAGTGCAGCCTAATTAAATAATTAGGCAATGTTTTCCACTCTCATCAAATTACTGTGGTGGTAGTTGACCTTATTGGACGATGGTTCCAGTTGATGTACCTGCGATTGGTCATCTTCGGCCAACTTGCAGCAAACGAGTAGTATTTAACGGGACTAATGTGAAGTAACTTTTCTCTATTTTGTTTTTCACCTCCCTATTTTCTTGTATAGCGACTTTCATGTTTACTGATAAAATAGCAGCCTCGAGTATCGACAGTATATTATTTAACACGTTAAAATTTGAATAACAGTAACCTAGTTAAGAGACATTACACATACAAAATAATTGAATGAAGACAAATAATTGAATAAAAAAAATGAAATAAAATAATGTGGTGGCAACATCTACACTCTTATCTTACTCGCTGAGATGAGATCAAGAGATGGCGCTACTAGCGGCGACAACGATATTTAATAGGGTCTTGCAGCAAATTTGCTAAATCTCAGTTGTCTTGGGTCTTATAAATTGAGTATATCTTCTAAATTTAGATTCAAGATCTTTGATTCCAGTGGTTCCAAATTCAAATTTCTTTTATGTAATTAATTCCTCAGACTTCGCAAAACAGACAACAATCGCATAGCTCGTGCTTGTGGTGCCACAATTGTGAACAGAACAGAGGAACTGAAGGAATCAGACGTTGGTACTGGTGCCGGCAAGTTTGAGGTTCGCAAGATCGGAGACGAATACTTCACCTTCCTCACAGAATGCAAGAACCCAAAGGTATGGTATTATACTATAGTATCCTTTATGTAAATGCACATTAATAATTTATTAATTAATTATTAGGTTCTCACAATATTTAGTACATGAAATTTTAAAGTTCTTAATAACTATGCTTTAAACTAAGTGTCCCCTTGCTTATAGGAGGGCACAGCATGCACTACTTAAATAAACATTTATGTTCCCAACTACGCGAAAAGTTTAAAAATAAAACAGTAGCATAAATAAAAGAAAAATATAAAACTTCTAGAGGCCGCCCATGACTTCGTCTGCGTCAACTTTTAGTATTTTGAGAAACCCTCAAATTACCCTAATATGTTTTATCTATACCGCTTTTTACTACATGCATATGAATATATACGGTACATACACCAAATAAAATTTTTACAATTTTTGTCTCTGTCTGTCTGTTTGTTCCGGCTAATCTGAAATGGCTGGACCGATTTTAACGGGACTTTTATTGGCAAGTAAGTAGCTGATGTAATAAGAAGCAACTTAGGCTACTTTTATTTTAGAAAAAAAAAAACTAAAAGTTAACGCGGACGAAGTCGTGGGCGACCGCTAGTTATCTAATAAAAATAAAAACATTATATTTTTTCAGGCTTGCACTATTCTATTGCGCGGTGCATCAAAGGACGTGTTGAACGAGATCGAAAGAAATCTGCAAGACGCCCTCCATGTAGCTAAGAATTTGGTATGTTTTCTTTAGCACCTTTTTACTGTTTAATCTATAATAATATTATAAAGAGGAAAGATTTGTTTGTATTGAATAGCCTCGAAAACTACTGGACTGATGTGAAAAATTTTTGCATTTAGAATCCTACATTTATCACTGATGAACAAAGGTCATGGAATATTTTAAAAAAAGTTAGTATCAGTAAAATAATTACGAGGCACTGCTTAGTTTTCATAGAAATTTTGATAAAGCGATATGTTACGGTACATTCTCTCTGTGGATACTCAGACATAGAACCCTCATATAAGTGGGGAAAGAGGCTTATAATAAAATATGACTTGTATTTTATAGTTATTTATGATATTAGTGCGGCAAGTTGTTGTTACAAACGACAATTCCGCAACACTCAACGCACGCAACGCAGCAAAATTGATCAATTGAATTTGATAAGGCTCCCCATGAATCCCCATCACTAAACTGTCTATGGTCAGACTTAGCCTACCTCTTTATTTACTTTAAGTCTAAATTAATTGGAACAGACTATAGAATACTTCTTGTGACATTCATTCTTTTACACTGAATAGAAAACGAGTATCTTTACAAGTATCAATCATTATTTACTTCACATATTTTGTGTATACTACATGTTTTATACATGTATATGAGTGTGAATAAAAAAAATAAGACATTGTATAAGATTTGTTATAAACATGTAAATTATACCTTGGTGTTAACGAGGAGTCATATGAGAGTCGCATAGACCTATTTTATTTCAGACTAGCTGTGCCCTGCGGTGGTACCCGCGGTTTATAAGGGATATTTTTCCCCCAAGTAAAACGTAGCCTATGTGTTAATCCAGGGTGTCAGCTAACTCCATACCAAATTTTATTAAAATCGCTCCAGCCGTTTAGACGTGAAGAAGTAACAAACATACACACTCACACTCAAACTTTCGCCTTTATATTATTAGTGTGATATTAGATGAACTCCAAGGTCAAGTGGTTTGTACGCCGGGTTTCATGGTGTTGCCCGACTCGAGAGGTCCCGGGTTCGAATCCCGGTGGAGGGCAGATGTTTGTGTGATGAATACGAGCATTTGTACACCAGTCATGGATGTTTAATATGTATTTCTATATAAATATACTTATATAATGTACTGTATATGTATTTTATCCGTTACCCTAGTATCCCATAACGCAAGCCTTTTAATGCGATTCAACTAAGAATAGGATCGACTGGGCGCCATTTTGTGATGTCAAAGCTGTCAATTGAAACAAAATAGGTAGAGTGAGCAATAAAAGATTTTCTTCGATAAAACTTATTTACTAAGATAAAGTGAAAAAAAACCTCAGGTTTTTTTTTAAATAAAACTTATTTACTAAGATTAAGAGAGAAAAAACATCAGATTTTATTAATAAAATTTAATTACTAAGATTGAGAAAAAAAAACACCGATTTTTAATAACATTTATGACTGTGAGTAAAAATATTAATCGGAATCTAGCTCTTCAATTCCGCTCAGCTCTGCATAACTACCGGAGTTGTCATCGTCGTCATGTTTGTTTACAAATGTTTGGTTTTTTTATTCTAGAATTAGCTGAGTGCTAAAAAAGAGTTCCAAGATTTTTTGCAAACCATACTTTTCAAGCATCATTTGACAGATGGAGGTCATTGGCTTTCCTATTCTTATTTGAATCGCATTATACAGTGCTTACTTTGGGGCTAGGCTAATTGGTGTGAGTGTTTTGGTAATATTTGTTTATTTGTTTATTTATTTATTATTTATTAACGTTTTGTTCAGGTACTATGCCCCCGATTAGTAGCTGGCGGCGGTAGCGTAGAGATGGCGGTGTCGCATGCACTCGCCTCTCGATCCGCACATCTGTCGCCGTATCGTGCTGTAGCTACGGCTTTAGGTAATTATTTACTGCTTCATCATCATCATTATCAGCCTATTAATGTCCCCACTGCTGGGGCACAGGCCTTCCCTATGGATGGAACAGGGAGATTATGCCATGACCCACCACGCGGGCCCAGTGCGGATGGGCGGGTGCTAACGACTGCAGATGCAGCTGGAACCAATGGCTTTACGTGCCTTCCGAAGCACAAAGGAACTCGAGATAGAAGACTTTTGGTCACCATTTCCGAACCATCACCACCCATCCAATGACCGACCACTGCAAAAGTTGCTAACCACCTGCGCCATCGAGCTCCTATTTACTTATTTACTAATTATTTTCATTAAAACCAGACACTCCCTTATTAATTAACGAGGAATAAGCTTGGACTAAGTTATATTTCGCTGCTGGATGTTTAAATCTAAAAAAAATTTTACATTCAACAATTCCATGTAGACCAGGCCGCAGACGGGACTCGAACCCGCACACTCAGCTTAGAAATACTAGAAAGAATTCGACACGGCCATTAGCTCCGCGGTACCATAATGGCCAGTGCATCCGCCCGGATAGTGGAGTGTGCGGTTTCGAGTCCCATCTGCTGCCTGGTCCGCGTGTAATTTTTTCTAGTAAAATTTTCTTAAGCTTAGACTAGGTAGTTACTTCGTGTTTCATTCATTTCACTCAATGTCATTCAATGAACAGAGATGAAACATGGAGGTACTAATCCAAGCTTATTCTTTGTTTATTAATAAGGAGGATAGATTGGACAGAGCATTCTGTTTTCTGTCCAGGTATGCAGTAAGTCCTTGTTCAAGTGTTAGTTATATATATGAGGAGCTGGAGAACAAAACGGTATAATTACGCATATGGTTTTGACCATATACTCCTTTTTTTACAGCCCGGAGGTTTCGGGCCAGCTGAATTTGAATTTCACCTCGTGTCAATCAAAACTGCCTAAAATAGTGTTAAAACTACTAAATTAAAAATCACGCCAAAAGCTCACAGTAGAATTTTATTTGATGTAATTATAACGTTTTCTTCGTCAGCTCCTCATATGTCATGACTGTTTTATCTCTTTCTAGAGTCTCAGTCCGTTCTTTATTACTATGACTAGCGGCCCCCGCAACTTCTTCTCCGTTAACTTTAGTTTTATGAGAATCTCACAGGAATCATAACATTTTTCCGGGATTAAAATATCCTATGTCTCAATCCAGATCATAAACTATATGCGTACCAAATTTCATCTAAATCAGTTCATTAGTTTTTGAATGATTGAATAACAAAGTTGAAACATATAAACTTACACATTTGTAACTTTAGTAGGATTGTCATGACAACAAATTGCGGATGGAATAGTTAAATGATTAAATAAAGTATTTTGTTCTTATAGGTACTATTATAGGTACTATATGTGGGCCAATAGATAGCATATTTTATCGTCTTAACATACACCTTTAATATTATACTACTCTTAATAATATATTAGTTAGGTTATATTCTTTTAGCATTTAACTGCTAGATGTTTCAATTTAAAGTAAAAATTTCTAGAAAAAAATCCAGCCTGACCATTTTTTCTAGTAAAAAGTTACTTTGAAGATCTCCTCAAATCATTCAATGACAATTATATTGTGTTTCTCTCCTTTCCCACCTAAACGACCTTCCTGGCTGCATCTCAAAGCGGCCTCAGATTCTAATGGGCCCACTCCACTTGTACTGTCTCTATACATTATATCCTGTCACTAATCAAATATATGAGGAGCTGGCGAAAAAAACGGTATAATTACACAAAATTAAATTTTACAGGAGCTGTATAAAACTAAATGACATAGCTCCAGTGAGCTTTTGGCATGGTTTTTAATTTATAAATTTAGTAATTTTAACACTGTTTTAGGCGGTTTTGATTGAAAATTATTTGAGATTCAAATTCAATGGGCCGGAATCTCGGGACTGTAAAAAAAAGTAGTTTGACCAGATGCGTAGTTAAACCGTTTTGTTACGCTCCTCATATCTTAGTTAATAAACGAGTTAAAAAAATAAATATAAAATAATTTTACAACCAAAATCAATAATGTGGCAAACCATTTAATGTTCTTTAGAAATATTCCATTGAAATTATCTTCGTGTTACTTTTGTTGGATGCTTATTTTGTTTTGAAATAAACATTGTTGTTTGGATTAAACAGATGGATGTTGTTTACCCCAGTTTTTGCACAATTTCGCAGAGATCATCCCAAAAGCGTTAGCTCAGAATTGCGGCGCGAACACAATCCGCGTTACACCCATAGACTTAGTATTTAAATACTGACAGAGTGAGGAAAGGCGATATTGGCGTCGATTCTAGCATGATTCTCTAAACCTAAACTTAAATATGACAGCAGTATATCCTTGTCATTCTCTATACAGAATGAAAAGGAGAGACTGCTATTAAATTTAGTTTTAAGTTTAGAGAATCACGCCAGAATTGGCACCAGTATGCCCTTACGACAATCCTAATTCCTACAATGTAGAAAGAGACGCAACATGATGTACCTCTGTTCCAGTAAAGTCAGCCAACAGCGACCTGTCAAACCTTTAGCCTTAAAGTTTATTATAAAATTATGTGAAACTAATAACACAATTATGCTTATACAAGTCAGTTTGTGTTATGGTATCCTGTGTTTAAAGCATATCTCGAAGAAACGACACTATCACTCTAATCAAATATCGATATGCACACATGCACAATTAAAATTTTGGAGAGTTGCGATAGGTACAGGGGGTATCCCGAAATATACACCAGTACGCTGGCCAGCGGTAATGACGTCATGATTTCGACGCCATATTGCACTGGTGTGTTGCCATATTATGCTGGTGAGAATACTGACGTAATTATTTATTAGGCGGGTGTATACGCTCAGCAGTTTTTGAAGTACTTTTTTGTATTAAATTGATAATAATGGAATCTCAACAAACAGAAAAATAAGTTTTGATTGATGAAGGAAATAACAAGACTTACACACTTAATGTATCTCCAGAGCAATTAGAAAAAGCAACCATAGGTGCTATATGCAGGTGAATATAGTGCCAGTTCATGACGTCACCACGCTGATCAGTGTATTTGGAACGAATCAACAGCAGGGTGTCGATTTATGACGTCTTTACCGCTGGCCAGATTACCAGTGTATATTTCGGAATACAGTCTGTTCATCCTTACTTGTCCTATTTGGTAAACAATCTTGGCACTCGTTTTTATTGAAAATGCATCATTAAAAATCAACTGTTAAACTAGATTCAATAGGTTTCAGTCTGTAATAAAGAGTGATCGTAATAGATTATTGACTTTGTTATTATTTTTAAATGGGTGTTTTTGTTAATAAGTTGTGCTAAGATTGTTTACCCAATAGGACAAGTTAGAATAAACAGACTTTACTTTGTCCCTCTTTACATCCTATATCTATGGTTACACCTGTGACTAAAAATACTCGCCACCGATTTAAAGTATCTCTCTTAGCCCGATAGCTTCACAATTAGCTCAAAATAAATAAATAACGAAATAATCTGTTCTTCTTTTGTGTATGGCATTTGAATAAATTAACGCAGTCAATCAGTTTATCCATAATATTTATTTAGATTTGTGATCAGGTCAATTCTTTGAATTGTAGCAAGTGGTTTATTAACTTATTGTGATTGTTGTTTATGCTTATAATTGTTCTGCATATAAGAAAATTGTATAGTATCCGATTCAATCATTAATGTATGAATATGTGTGACTGTTAGCATGCATAAATAAATAAATAAATAAAATTATGGATATACATACTGGATTTTTGATTATATTCTCCATATTTTTCGCAGAGATAATCCCCAGAACTTTGGCCCAGAACTGCGGCGCTAACACCATTCGTACATTAACCGCGTTACGGGCCAAACACGCCGCTTCTACTGGAAACTGCACCTTCGGCATCGATGGCGACACCGGCGAGATTAGAGATATGGCTGCTGCGGGGATATGGGAACCGCTGGCTGTTAAATTACAGGTATTTCTGAAACAGTAAGCTTATTGCCAACATTAAAACCTAAAATGTCATAGTAAAAAACCGGCCGAGTGCGAGTCGGACTCGTGCACTTGGCCGGTTTTTAACTTGACTGTAAATAATAAAATAGGGAGAAAAAAAACAGCACTTGCTGAGTACAAGGTTTCCCGCCGTAGATTCACGAACCGATGGCGTAGCTTCTAGACATTCATGAGTGCTTGTAACAGCCTAAACTGAATAAATGATTTTAATTATGATTATAGGTAACGACTTTGTCAGTGTACTGTAAGGTACTGTACGGTATCCGCAAATACTAGGTGTTTTCGGTCACGTGACAGTAGATCAGAGCTATTTTCTATTTCATGATTTTTAAGTTAAATTTATTTATTTTTTCTTTTAGCTTTTTAAAATTGGTGATATTAATTTTAAACATTTTTGTTACATTATTTAAAGTGCAGGGGCCATATTTTGGTACTTTATTTTATAATACTGTTGGTAATCTCGTTTCTTTAACGGAGTCATAGTAGCAAGCCTGCGATATTTGTCTTTCCGTATATCGGCGGATTCTATCTCATGAATCAAAATAAGTAGACAGCAATTTCTTTCGAGATTATGTAATTTTAAAGTCTCTAGTACTTAAACATTGTTCGGGATTTAAGTACTTTTAAAAATAACTCAGCACCGTCTCTCTGTATTAAAAAAAAGCTGTTATTGATAAAGACAAATTTTTTGATTCGCCAGGTTTACAAAACGGCCGTCGAAACAGCAATCCTTCTACTCCGGATCGACGATATCGTGACAGGCTCCAAGAAGAGGGGTGGCAATGAACCAGCTGCGCCTGCTGAGGCTGCCATGCAAGAATAAACCTTAACACCTTTACAATAAACGTCACATTCGGATAAAAGGACGACATTATACTATCGTGACGTCAGAACGCTTTTGTGAGCTTATATCTAAGAGATCTTAACATAGATCTCGCTATCTTATTGCATTACTGTAATCAGTAATGTCACTATTTTTTAACTCAAGAGTCATCAAAAGCAATATTCAATTACAAAACCAAAAGATACAGCTCAATTTTGATGTCATGGATTGTCATCGTTACAAATGCTGAAATGTTGTCCATAACATTGTATTGATTGTACAAGAGAGCCTTTTAATGAAAATCGCTAGATATTATTTAGGAGTTCTAATAAAATTGTACTTTAAATTGTTTTGGGCATTATTACGTAAATACAGCTTGCCTATATCTAAATGAATTGTACTCTTGAGATTGGAATGTGAATTAAGTTTAGTTGAAATTCTCACAAATTATGAGATATCTATAATTTTTTTCATTAATTGATTTATAAAGAAGTATGTTATTTTTCTTGTTAATTGAATATACAGGCAAATGTTTAACAGATTATTACAAGATATCAAATTTTTCTCAATAAAATGTATGCCTTATTTGTAAGACCAACACACTTAGAATAGTTTATTAGATTTGGCCATTTTGGACATTTTGATAATCCTAATCTTTCACAAGTACATGTGTACTATTTAAAAGGAGTTATATATTTTAATTGGCTGTCGAATAACTTAAATAATATATCGATTTTCGCTGGGCTCATATTAACTCTGATTAACCCAATGTTAACGTAATGCCTTATATCGTGATACAATGTTCCATTGGAACGCTCTTATTTTCAAATGAATAAGGTTTAGTTTTATTTAATGCGCTGTTATTTATATGGTCACATACTCGTCACGTTTTCTTCTTCGCATATTTGTGCATTTATGTTGTCTATCGCTATTTTAAAATGGAACAATAATAGTATTAAAGTTTTATTACGTCTACTAAATATTTGTTTTTTTTCTATTTTACCGCTTACACATTTCATATAGTAAACCACTGGTTTGAAAAACGTTACGTTCTTAAATCTTCTCAAGAGAAAAGATTTAGTCATATTTAAACGAGGCAGAGTAAAGTGGATTTTCCGTTTGAATTGGAGCGCCCGTCTGGGGATGTAGTTACTTTAGAAAAGAAGTTAAATAATACTACATTTTCTTGGTGTTTTGTGTCTGTTCCCAGGAACACAAAATAACGTGTTTAGGCAAATTGCGTTTAATAATCTGGTACTAAAGCTATGGTGGCCATGACTGTCCGTGACCAAAAAATTAAATAATATATAATAATATACAGTTACAGAAGTAGACTACAAATCGAGTTACAAAAAAATCTAACATCTGGCCAATGGATCTTCTGAGAATGATGTTTGATATAAGATTCAAAGTCGTATTAAGAAAATGTGTGTGTAGTGTATGTGGTAACTTGATGTGTGGCTGTCTGTACCTATATAGTTTCAACACGGTGAATTTTGAGTTACATGAGAAAATCGTGTAAATAAAAATGTGAGAACAGTTATATGCAGTAAACGTACTACTACATCCCATACAAAATATTGATTAAATATCGTTTACTAAATATCCTAAAACGGCGCAATTTTTTAAATAACATACAGACTGTAAAAAAACCTATGACACAAACTAAAACTACGCGTTCTGTACACCCAAACAAGTTATACTACAAAATATTATACGTGAGAATTTGTATTTTTAAGTTAAAAAAGTACATTTTTTATTCCATTACGTAATGTATAGCGTGGCGCTATGTAAAGAATGTGTATGTGAGTGCGTGTGTGTAAGTGCGTCGATAAAAAAATTTCTAAATAACGTTTTGAAAATATTATTGTAAAAATCTTAAAAAATAAATTATGACTATTAACCTTCGATATCTCCATAACTATAAATATCCCAGGTATGGTCCAGAAGAAAAAAATGATCGTCATTATGTGGAAAATACATGGCCTACGACTACGGTTAAAGGATTTTTTACAACCTGTATCTATTATGCAATTGTTATACGTTTACGTAGATCCTAAAAGCAGTTTTATTTTAATCAATTTATGACAATTAAAATTGATAAGGTTTATGTAATCATACTAATTGCACAATTATTAAGTAACGAGACATTTTTCGAAAAACGAATTAGTATTTATTGTGGAAATGTAACAAAAATTAGCTAATAAAGTTTGTCAGGTGACAACATTCAACGTGTATCAACTGTTAAACGAATTTTGCATCTGCTATAGGGAATATGTTTATAGATTTCATATAAATTACAACATGTAATGCCACCTACCATCCAACGAGCAATAATCGTCACGCTGACCATGATTCATACATCATTACCCAACGAGGTTAAATTCGTAATTTGCTTTTCATAGATTTTGCAAAATATGTGTCTCATGTTGTGGTTATATTGAAACTATTAGTGTTGAAATACGAAACCGTGCCTATCCTACGAAGGAAACAATATAGAATGCGTTAACACTTTCCCGTGCGGATAGTAAAAGTATATTAACGGAAGAGTGATTATTGTAGTCAACAATCATCACTGATTTGGAAACAATCTAAATGTGGACCTATCCACATGGGTAGAGACACAGAAAGAGGTCAGAGACCGTTTACACTTCCACCTAATAGATAATAGCCAATCAAACGACGTGCCATCAAACAATCGAACCAATTAGCGCTCACACCCGAGAGCAACCACGCAATCAGAACCAAGTTTTGGTCAAGTTATGAGCATTTGCTCACACATAACTGGCGCGCCTGCCCTGCCCACAAGGTCCTTCCAACCTCTTTCTGTGTTTTGTGGGTAGGTACTTGTATGTCACTCAGAGAAGTCAATAAACTTTTAAGTTTGGTTAAACTAAATAGTCGATGCTGACACCATGGGCGTAGCTAGGGCTAGGGCTCCCCCCTAGCCCTAGCTACGCCTATGGTGTGTAATGCCCATATTCAAAACATTGCAGAAATCGTCACATCTTGGTTTGTGCGCCGGACCTTTGATTAATACGCTTAGCGGATTTTTGGCCCTATAATTGGTTTGGCAGCATACAAATTACATTCAAATAGCTTCCTTAATATCATAGATACAAGTCAAGTTTCAGACTGTAAGTGAGTAAAATTTTTACGTACCTGTGCCACCTGATACCTGAGAATTGGCCCATAGCACAAGTAAGTGAATATGTAGTATACGTTCATTGTACACACAATACTACTAGATTTTCCATGTGTCGATTAGAAAATAAGATCTTTGTTCTAGTTTAAACAGTAAGAAAAATGCTTCTAATGGCAGAAAAGAAGTATTTAAGGATAATGAAAGCATAAAAACTATTAACGTAATTTTGATATAGAAACTATATCCCGTATGCTGCCTGGCCCGCGTAGAATTTTTTCTTGTAAATTTTTTAAACATGTAGCAGATAATGCTTGAAAAATAACAAATACAACTGGGAATTATATAATTTATACTTTATTATTATCAAGATGATACTTACAAAAGGCGATAATTTCCATTACTCGCTTTACGTTGTGGCAGGGTCGGTAGACCACAGTGGACGAGGAGCGCGGACTTAGCTCCCAGCGCGGGCAGCAGCAGCACCCGAGATACCCTGGATGATCCCTGCCGTGGAGCCCCGGCTAGGTCGGGAAGCTGTCAGATACGCGGTGAAATCCCTCAACGGGGATCTCGTGGTTCCGCGCTTAACAGCGTAGAGGGTATTCGCAGAGTTTTTAGCGGATAGTATGCCGTAAGCGCTCGTAAGGCGCGCGGACTGCTTAATTATCGGCTTCTCCGTTTCGCACCAGTGAGACTAGCGCGAGGCTAGGTGTGAGGTCAGTTCGTTGGTGTGCCTCTTAAAGGCGCCAACGTCTGTAAATAGAGGTATTGCCTGCGTAAAAAAGGCTCGGAAGTCAAAATAAAAAGTTACTATCGAATCTAAAGTAAACCAACTATCTAATAAGGATGAATTTTATTAAACCGAGTGTAGGATTTTAAAACGTTAGTCATGGGGGAAGGGGGCATCAGTGCATTGATTTGGCTATAGGCGATACGCGTCGCGCCTTCATTGTTAAACAAATGTCATTTAAAAAGCTCACCGTTATATGGTGACTGTTTCCAATACAACACTTCTCTCCTTATTTATTATTATTTTTTGAATTTTTGCGTAGGTAGTTTTAGATAATTATATAGTTATATTAGCTTACGATATTTATTTCATCATCATCATCAATCGACGGAAGTCCACTGCTGGACATTTTTTTTTGATGCAGGCAAAACCTCTATTTACTGACGACAGCGCCTTTAAGAGGCGCACCGCCGAACGGACCTCACACCTGGCTCCCGTAAGCCTTACGACCCCCGCAGTGGCTGCCCACTAACGACCCCGTAACTCTTACGGGCGCTTTACGGCATAATATCCGCAATAAAAACCTGCGAATACCCTCTAAGCTGCTAAGTGCGAAATCGCGGAATCCCCGTTTAGGGATTCTGCCGCGTCCCGCACCCTACAGCCTCCCGGCCTAGTCGGGGCAGGCATCCTCAAGGGATTGCCACTGGGACCTCCTGACTCGCTTGATGTTGTCAGTCCACCTGGTTAGGGGTCTACTACCAACACAACGTTTCCGGTGCGAGGTCGCCATTGAAGCAACTTAGGATCGCAACGCCCAGCAGTTCGCCGTACTATATTGATGTAGTGTAATTAATTGGGGAAATATTCTCCAAAAGAAATTATTTTCCCGTAAATTTACATTACAGCAACTTACTACTAACTCCATAGAATCCGGGGAATAGTTATTAATCGAGCAGTGCAAGAATAATGTTATTTAGCTGCAGTCTTCTTCAAGGTGGAACATTTTTCAGATATTATCTGGAGTCAATAGTACCTAATAGGTTAAGCAGTGGCGTAATAAAGACTAACACCACCAAAGTCGACACGAGACGAAAGAAAAGAAGTTGTTTTAATAACCATAGTAATATCAATACATCTCGTCACTGATTAGCAGTTGAGCAGAGTGGCTACTGTAGTTGTAAAGCATCTTTTAGAATTTCAGCTTTGAAGGGCATTATAAGCTGACGATGTACCGTACTTGAACAATCGATGCACAGCCACCATTTCTCTTGTCAATAAATCGTACAGCAATGGAAACAGTTGCCGATCGCGGCGGTGACGATAACGCACAATGGTCCGGCGCATTGTGCTCCGGCTGGACCCGTGACGGCGCTCCCGTGGCCATTAGCGTGGTGGCACCAGGCTAGAGTGGACGACATGTTATGGTGAGTACTTATAATTATTTTGTATTTGGTCACTAAAACTAAAAGGTCTTATGGTTGTGGTATATGTATGTATGCTAACTTGACACTTTGACAGGAACCTATATTTTTTTCGGAATAAAGAGTAAATCCAGGCCGTAAACTATATGTCTGACAAATTTCATCCATCTGTTGGCAGGTTTTACGCATGATTGAGTAAAAAACAAACAATCTTTCACATTGAATAGGACTATGATGCTCTCAGGGACGTTAATTAAATTAAATGCAATGCTTGTCAAAGAAACATGTTGTCATATTCTTTTGGTGTCGGTGTCGCAAGGAGAGGGTAAGCATCGACTATAATTAAACCTTAAAATCTCTGACGTCTCTGAGTGCGACCGTTAGTATTGTATCCTCGATGCTCTGCCACCCTGAGCCCGCGTGCATAAAGTTACTGTTAGTTTGTGGTCGTGTTACAATATCTAATACCATTTTATATAAGTATAAGATGATGATAAGAGCTATCGAAAAAGCAGGATTGTTTTTGGAAGCAAATTTCGTGATATATGACCTAAGACGTTTCCCGGAAACATTATTAACAGGTTGCCAGCACATCGCTTAGAACAGTTTCCAAAGTTATCCTGTCCAATGATTGGTTTTTTTAGCTATCGATAAGCATTTTTGCAGGCCGGCAAGGTGACGATGGTTGGTATAGCAGTTTTTAACTGCTGTAACAGCTATCTTTGCGTTTGGACTTTACATCAGGTGGGGTAGTCATTTGCATACCTCGCCATAAAAAAAATGTTAAATTAGTAAAAGAAAGGCCGAAATAGTGTAGCCAAATAACTACATGAGTCTGAAACGAACTCGGGATTTTTACTTTTCACTGCAGTTGAGGATGCAATCACTTTTCATTCGGGCATGGTGTATGTTTTTTGATTTTATCAAGACGCGACGCCCAATAATTAGTATAATAAGTACCGGCACTTCACGTGGCTATTCGTGTTTGCTATTTGAAAAGTTGACAATAGTCTAATGACAATTATCAAATAACAAAAACCTACTAATAGTCATGTGAAGTGAGAGCATTATGTTTTCAGAGTACATGCATGTTTAATTCTTTATTTAAAATGATTTTATGTAATTGTGCGCGATAACGCGAAGATTTCCGTAGTCGCGATATATCTGGTCGAGATATTCGTTCTATTGCGAATGTTTTCCGGTAAATTGAAGCGCATGAAAGGGTCATACCCGATAAAATTCGTGCTCTTGGCTTTCTTATGAAGTTTTTTGTAACTTCATAAGTTGGCAACACTTCGCGCGTTTTGTTGACAATGAGACTTCATTATGATGGCATGTAGTATTGTAAGAAAATAATGCATAGGCGTAATGATAGAATATCGGAGTTCATAGCAAATTATGACTACGAACGAATTTTGTGGAATCCCCCAAGAGCCAAACTAAAAAAAACCGAACAAGTGGGAGTCGGACTCGCTCACCAAGGGGAATGCTCGTACAAATTTATAAAAGGCCGTATATTTTTTTATGTTAACTAGGAAGTTTATTTTTTTCGCAACGTCAAGGGACTATAGATTTGAGTATGTAGTTTTGTAGAAAGGCCAAAGGGAAAGACTTGCATACGAGCTGGGTGATGTTAACTCGGGGGCCGCAGTCCGACTGATGTAGGTCGGGCATTGCATATGTGAAGTGTTGGTCTTCGAATTTCACTTGCTTGACGTAGGCTTCCATACTATTTGAATGCATAGCCGGTAGCGCCATCTTTTGAAAAAAAGGGAGTGGTTGATTCCTCCATGTTGGTCAAATGTGATGATTTCCCGAGATAAATTGTCTTTACAAATAGATTAATAACAAGGTGATCTTATAGGATTTCCGTTATTTCCATTTGTGATACGGAACCCTAACATTTAAATTAGTTAAAATAAAACCACTTTTTCGCAAAAATTATCGCGATGGGTTTTTCAAATGACCAGGCCAGGGTGCTTTGTTGTACATCGAAGTCGAAGTTTTAGCGCGTTATCGGGACACAACCTCACACGATAATGTGGCCATAGCATAAGCAAATAAAAAAAAACGAGATATCAAACTTTTTTCTACCCATCGACCGGATTTTAATCACGAAATGGGCATATCAGATTTATCGAGGGCATTAATCGGCTTTTAACACTAAGACGCTTCAGATTGGGGAATTGTTAGATAAACTGACCTGCCATTGACCCAACAAAGAGCCACCATTGTATTTGCTTAATTTAACGTTTCTGTAATGCCTACATTATGCCCTTGGTTTTGATTTGAGGCAAGACGCCCATCAAAATTAGTGGCGCGCACAGTGCGACTCTGTAAAATGAAATCTCACTTCCGATTTCGGTAGAGCTGCCATTTTAAACATTAGTTTTATAAGCATTACATCATTACACGGCAAAATGTCGCTATATCTGTATAAACAGCCAGTATTAGATATTTGATATTTGTCAGAATTCCGAATAAATGAGATCGTAAGTGAGATCGCATCTTACAGAATACCTATACTGGTGCAGAAGTAAGCATTAAAGTCAATCATTTTGACTAAATTAGAGCGACCAAATTATTTACTTTCAGTTTTGAAGTCTTTTCCATGAGATAGCTATTAAGAATTAGTTATAAGAATTCACGAAGGACTAGCTCCTGCGCCCGCCGCGGCTGCGGGACTGAAACTCCCATAGAATGTCAAATTGTAAGTAGTGTATTGTAAATGCCAATACAAAACTCCGCTGCGGGCCCGGCGCGCGGGACGCAATCACCCGCAGACGCGACGGGTCTAGCCCGCGCGCTCTGTGATTTGTATGCGGGTGAACGAAAGGCGCGATCAGAATTCAAAGTCTGCAGCTCGCAGCTGCAGCAGCTGCGGACAGAAGAAAACTGCGGTCTCGTGGGTTTTGAAATAAAACAGATTTCCCGCTGCCGCGGCGGGCGTTGGAAAAAACCTGATGTGTGTTCTCTTAGTTTAAGGTTGTGTTAAATTGTTAATAGTTAATTTTATAATTATAACTTCATTTTGCTGAGAATTCGAAATGCTGTCCATGACATAATACACTGCTTTATCCACTTGGTGCATCTATTATTATGATTATCTCCAAACTATGCCAAAAATGTAAAGCTGGATGTCGCGATTGTTATTTATATATTTTTGACATAATGTCGAATCACTTTAGACAAGTTATCTGAAAAAATCTCGGTTTGTGTTTCCACATCAAACACAATTGATATCCTAATCGAAGTAATATCCCTGGTTTTCTTATTTTCTTGTAAGAATGGAGTTGAAACACGGACCATACTAGCCAGAGAAAGACAAAGAATAGATGCTAGAATCGACGAATGCTTAGGATGCCCTGGACAGCCAGGAGCACAAATGTATTTATTCTATCACAACTGAACATCAAAAACGTCTATCTACCATCTGTTTAAGTCGCGTACTTTCATTATTTGGCCACATAATGCGAAGAGGTGAGAGTCTTGGGGTCGCTCGCCAACTAAATGTCTGATCATGTGAGATCTGCAATCTGCTCAAGCAGACAGTGAAGGCAAACAATGGACAGAGAGCGATAAAGACAAATCATAAAGACTGCCAAGATCAAGTGATCTCGATCCTTAGTAATGAGGGAGCGATTAGAGAGAGAGTCGAATCACTTTATTTAAGAACTAGGTTAAATCCATACATCATTGACCCTTGAAGTATGTACTTAGTTTAACGGTTAACGGTGATCGATACCAGTTCTATTGACAAATGGTCATCACTTTATAGAGCGGAACGTCTGTGACGTCTGTCACATACGGACCGTTAGTATTGTAGGATTTGGTGGGAATACGTCAGAAAACATTGTTATATTTTCACATAACTACTTTATCAAGTTTGTATGAAGATGCTTACTTTTCTATTGAATATTCAGACAATCGTTAGCTAATATTCGATTGCATTGCAGTAACTCAAAGCATATTAAATGATGATTTTAACATAAATCGAGACGTTCATTACGCATGAAAAAATACTAATGCTTTACACACTTAAGTTACTAAATTCTAGAGTGGAAATGCTATTGTCGAAAAGGATATTCGATCTTAACCACTCTATAAATCTTATGATTCTATAATTTGCCAGTAATTTTAGTGTTCATTTAGTGAATAAAATTGGGTTACCCCTACGGGGTAGGGGAGGCAACGTGCATGTTTCAAACTCTACAAAATGTAACTCCGTGATTACCTATACTAGAATTTCGTGTAATAAAATAATAAGAGGAAATGGATGTCATTCGGTCCGCGATCGCAGAAGTTACGCGATCCTTGATGCAATGGTCGATCTTAAGAGGAGGATCATAGGATCGTAGGAAAAATATCAAGGACTTCTCCGTGATTCAGAAGGTTGGGAAAAAATCGTTGGTCCCGGCCCCGGCTGCATCTAGCATCCACCAACCATCCGCACTGGACCCACGTGTTGGGTTGTCGTCCAATCCTCCAATTCCATCCTTAAGGTAAGCCTGTGCTTGAGCATGAAAATATTCGATAGTTAGTCGCTACCTCGCCGGCGGCGGTAGGTGCCTTAATAGGAGACTATGATGATGGTAAATAAATTATGGAACATAATGATTTATCAAATATATTTTATAAATGTCATGTAGGTACTCTGATTGTGCTGGAGGTCGTCGCCGCGTTTTGCGCACATTGTGTTTAGGCCAGGGTTCACGGTTCGATGGCCAAAGTGGGCTTCCGTTTGATTTCATCACACTTCCCGCAGCGGTCGTAGGCCTTATGTTGGCAGTTTTGTCAACACCAATAGCTATCATTTATATGTTAATAACAGATTGTTGACTCCATTGTTGTATTGATAGAAGGTTATTTTTTTTGGGATTTAACATGAGAAATACAAAAAACTGTGTACGGGTGTTTCTACTCGGAAGGGAATTTTCTGCGGCTCACCTTATTTTATATAGTTTAACGATCGAAACTGTACCAATAAATGGTTTTTAATATGACACTAAAAATAGCTCAGTCCTAAATATACATCTTCCAAAAATTGTACTTTATAGTGCCAAATTCTCAGCCTCCTGTCATGTCTGTCGGCCGAAATGAAAGTTTAAAAGCTGCATTATAACTTTATTCCAAATATGTTCGTAATATCTATATAAAAAAGAAATGTATAATGTATATAGTTTTAATGTGTTTGTCTCCTTTTATCTTTAATGCCAAACTTATTCGAAAAAAAGTGCATTATATTTTGTTTCTCGGTTTCTGACTCAGTCTCCTGCTACATTTAAAATCAGTTTGAATAACCGTTAAAATCAGTTTGAATAACCGCGTCTAGCGCATTGCAGTTCGTTTTGAGTGAAAGATTAAAGTGAATTAGCTTACAAACACTCGCGTCCGTCTCGGCTCGCGATTGACTTTGTCGCTACGGCCAGTTGTATAAGTAAGGTTCTGCTGCGGCCAGTGAACTTAACAGTATCCTGGTATGCATGTATTTTAAATATTACCTAATATTTAAACTATTGTTATATTAATACTTTTTTGCATTCATGAGTCGTAAATTCATAATATTAGAGTACAGAATTGGATAATTGCAATATTAAATGTTACATTGATGTAGTTATTAGTTTTGTCTTGTGTCCTTTGTTGTGTGCAATAAAGAATATTTATTATTTATTATTATTATTATTATTGGCTAAAACTTAAGATGATGTCAGTATCCTGGAAATATAATAGCCAAAAGTCGATTTGCTCGGAATCTACTAGACCAATCAAGTAAAATTTTGGTACATACATGTATGTCTGTGACCGAAACACGGACAAATAAAGTAAATAAATAAATTCCGATTTAATATGTTTCAATTTTGTATCAATAATCAGTCCCCTGTGCCCATAATTTTGAATAGGTCATAAATTTCGTGTAATTTATATTTTTAAATATACCAATATTTTTTTTTCAAACAGGCCAGCCGTTGATATCAGTATAAGAACGCCCTAAGGTAGACATCAAGATACTTTTCTGACCTTAGTTGCCAAAAAAATTTTGTGCCGAAAAGCACTTCATTTTCGTACCTTCTGAGTAGAACTACCCGCACGCCGAAGACAGGTTATACAGGAAACTTGGGTATTATGTAAAAAAATTGTGAATTTATTTGTATTTGTTATTTATTGTGTTTCTGTCGATGAGTAAGGTTCCAGGGCGAGAAGCGTAGGGGATTGTGTATGGGTAGGCAACGATGCGAGTGATATTTTTGGTATCGCAAGAGTCTAAGGCTATGGTGGCCATACGCTTTTATGCCACCCTTTAAACATAAAAAAATATGTTTTTTGTTTCAGACTGATCGCACCATGACGACAATGAGAAATTCACGCATAATATTGTTCTGTGGCATCATCCTCATACATTCAGCTTTTCCTTTGGATGTGCATCATGAATCCGAGAAGCACACAGAGGTTTGTCTATACTAATATTATAAATAGGAAAGATTTGTACTTTTGTAATAGTAGTACATAACATCCTTTCTCAATTTCTGTCGTGCTCGATTTTTTTTGCTATATTCTACCTTTTCCTACGGCCACCCCCATACCATGCAAACTGGCAGATCAATATTTTTTTCGTCCTCTGAACCGTTACGCGAACCACCCAGTATAAGTTACGGCACGAAACACTAGCGCTGACCGTTTTTGCTCAGAAGTAAAATTTAAGATGTCTTGGGGGGAAACGAGGCGCGCGGGTGGGCGTGCGTTGCGCCGATTGGCTCTCCAGTCGTACACCCATGCGCAGCTATCCCCTTCGTGTTTTGTTCAGCGGTAGAGTAACGTGTAACTTGTAGTTCCTATTGGAAAGACTGATGACTTGAGCGCAATCAAAATCTATGGTCGTTTGTTCAAATTTTTGTTTCTGCCCTAGACGTTCGGCTCTACACAGAAAGCTCTACTCAGATATGGTGAGAGTACTTCAAAAGGTGGAAGTTTGCTCCCCTTATATTAATTTGCCGTGCTCGAATTTATCCTAAAATAAGGGGGAGCTCGATGGCGTTAGTAGATAGCGTTTTCGGTCTGTGATCGTGGAAAGTGGAAGTTTTATAGTGAATTTTGGCAATGACCGGTCATCGAAAATTTATTCTGCTGAGCTCCTTTGTGGTTCGGAAGGTACATTAAGCCGTTGGTCCTGGCTGTATCTGCAGTCGTTAGTACCCACCAACCAGCATTGTGCCCGCTTGGTGGATCACGGCACGATTTCCCTATTCCATCTTTAAGGCCCAACTGAGCCTCAGCAGTAGGGATATTAATCAAAATCAAAATTACTGGAATACTAAAAAATATTATGAATAAGTCAACAAACCCTATTATGTATTGACTTTATACTCGATTCTGCAGTAGGTACTACTTTTTGACAAGTGTCTGTTATAAAATTATGTTTTTCGTCCAATGCGTTTTTTAAACTCAAGATTAGGCATAAATAGGTGTACGTAAATAGAATTATTTTTTTAAGGAATTGACTATTATGCAATAATCATATTTCTTTAAATTCATTTGATATAATTTAAATGTGTTTTCTTATAATATTTTTAGATAAGTATCAAAACCGATGCTCGGGGTCGCCGTGACGTCATCGAAGAGGAGAAATACTTCAACATCAACTCTGATATGACCAGAAAAGGTAACAATATAAACCACCCGACACCATGGATGCCAGGTCCTCTGCCCCCAGAAGAAGACCCCACTACCAAAGTCTCGCTAACCAACCCAGAAGTCAAGGAAGTTCTGCCTTTATTTCAAACAACAGAACGGGTAACGGATAAGCCAACAGGCAGGGGAGCACGAGCTTCTAACGAGAATTGGATCAAGCTTCCATTCCCTGATCGTGAAGATGTCCAAAGAGACGATATCTTAACACCACCACAACCATCCGGAGACCTGATAAATTCCCGAATGCCACGTGTAAACTTCGTGACCCAAAACAAGCAGTTGGAAACATCAGAATCGAGAAATGACAAAGAATCAATCCAACGCGCCACAAGAACGGACAATATAAGGACGGAATTCGTCAGACCAGACCGGGAGGATGACCGCTCGAAGCCCTACAAGCCGGTGTACCCGAGACAGGCCGTGTACTACCCGGAAGAGTCCAGACGACACTACCACGATGATAGATACTACCCCGCCGACGATTTATACAGACGCGATCCTTACTATGATTTATACGACCGCAGGAGGTACCCGGTTTACGGACCGAGAATTGATAGATACGATGATGAATACGACAATTACGTACCGAGGAAACCGAAACGGATCATATATTACGCGCACCTGCCAGACGTTGTGAGGACGCCGCCTAGTGTAGATTTGAGGTACAGGTACTCCGCGGATCCTTACAGGCGCTACGACGACGACTATTACGCTAGAACCGGCCGCTACGATTACAGATTCAGAAACAGATACCCTTATGCTCCTCTAAGGAAGGAGGAGAGGAACTATAGAGATTTGGCCGGTGCCGGCACTGTTGTTAAAGATAAAAAGATCGATGAGAAAATAACGCCAACACCAATTCTACCGCAGAAAGAAGAAAAACCAAGAACCAGTCCAAATAACAGTAATATAAACAATAGAAACGTCAATAGGAATATGATAAACAGCCACCAGTATCATGACGATCTACCTACTTATAATGACCAGTTGACTCATAAAACGTTCCAAGATGTAATGAGGCCGGATGAGGGTTATCTAAGATTCGAGGAGCCGCTGTTTCAAGGCGCCGTTGAAGATCCGTATCAAAGGAAATACTAAGGGCTTTCCTGAGTGGCTTAACCTACGTTCCTGACTTGTTTTTGTACCTCGAAAACCAGTCATGAACGTCGTCACATGTGAACCGATTCACACGAGCAAAAGCTTATGATATTTACAAATTTGTTTATTAACAATTTAATTTAAATATTTATTTCGAAATAGAGATTAAGCTAATCGCCGAAATGTTTGTACGATGTGCCGCTAATAAATATAATTACACAGAGTCTCGCATTAATTATTCGAAGGGAGTAGAGTTCGCGACAAATTGTACAAGCAATAAATCGAGTGTTCAAATTAAAACACGGGAGGGTGAAGATGAATTTCATTAAGAATTAATTAATGTCATTCTTAAACGGTTTTGTTTTTCCGCGCGAATAAAAAACATCTGCCGGGCGTCGGCGCTGCGTTGGGCGTCTCGTGCGACGAGTTTTCTTGAGGTAATTAAGCAATAAATTTTGCGGCTGGCATCCTCAAGAGGTGGGGGCAATTACATTGTGCGTTTAAGAAAATGGATGTTCGCCACTCGAGCTGTGGCCCGGCCAGCAAACCAACGTGACTAATTAAATATGAGGGATTAGAAAAAAATCCCACGACGTGACAGCTTGTAATCAGAGGGATAGATTTGCTTCTTTCAGTATTTTTTTCCTTCCGTGTTTTTTTAAATGCCAGAGGGTTTGCCTGGATTAATGGGCTGACTATAAATTTCAGTGTAATTAAATGTCTCGTCCGAGATTAGGGTGTGAAGTTTAGTTTAAGAAGAAAGAAATCGTATTGCAAATTTTGGATTATCTAATTTGCAAGTCGAGGACATAAAAAAAGACGTGAATAAGATATAAAGTATGAAAAGTTATCCTCTCACAGTCAGACAACGATGTCACATTACGTAATAACTGCGTTGAAGATTATTATCCCGAAAGAATAATGATCTTTTGCCGTCAAGCTTTCTGAAGTTGATAGGTTTTTACTATCTGCACAGGAAATCCAGCAGCTGGTGCAATCTTTGTTTTTCCTGCACTCCCAGTCTACCATGGGAGATACAGACATGCAGCAATAATTTTTTTTTTAACAAAAAAAATAAAAGGAAATAAAAATAATAAAACTTTTATGTTTAGTCAAATGAATATTTGTAGTCGGTGCCAGTGCCAGGTTAACCCAAGTACTTAAGGGAATTCAGACCTGCATGGCACCGAATTTAAATATTAATTTGACTAAACATAAATGCTGGCCAAGTGCGTGTCGTGCCACGCGCAGTGTAGGGTTCCGTAGTTGCTCGTGGTCGCCACAATATATTTATTTTGGAAAGAGTCAAGCAATTACTTTTTCGAAGTCTTTTTTAATGTTTTCTTCTTAGAATTTTTTTAATAAAAATTTCTAAAAAGAAATTCAATTAGTCCAATTTCTGAACTAATGTTCAGAAATTTTCTAATTGAAAGTTGAACGGCTATTACTCTTAAAGTAAGAAATATATTTTAACCGTTGTAATTTTGCAGCGGTTAATTTTTTTTGTTTAAAAGTTTTTATTTCGATTTTTAGATTCGGCATCAAAATCTTTGAGCGAACAATAATTCATCCCCTGATTGCATAGCCTTAGGGCTCGTTTTTTCTTAAATTTATATGGGACCAACTTCGGGGTATACTCTTGCCAATAAATAAAGAATTATCAAAATCTGACTACTCTGTAAAAAGATATGCGGGGTCATACATAAAAAAACAAATATAGAGTCTGTGCGGAAAGAGAATGGGATTTAGATTGGAGGGCGCTGTAGTGCTTTTCTACCGTATTTGTAAGGTTTTACCCCTTTTAGACATGATTTAATACAATAAACCGCAAAAAATCACAACAACAAACAAAACCGTATCAGTACAAAACTTTGACGTTTTACAGATTGCTGGGTTTGATTGCCAAATAAAAATCTTAATGTTAGTTCCGTTTTTCGCCACGCCCATTCTCTTTCTGCATAGACTCTACGCGTCGACTTGAGAACCTTTTTTTCGTCAGTTTAATCTACTATATAAAAATAAGTCGGGTTTTCCTTCCTGACGCTATAACTCCAGAACGCACGTACCGATTTCCACGGTTTTGCATTCGTTGGAAAGGTCTCGGGCTCCGTGAGGTTTATAGCAAAGAAAATTCAGGAAAAATAAAAAAAAAATCTTCTTTTAATCACCAAACGAAATGTTACATAAAACGAAGCCATCTGGTGGTGAAACGGAGTTCGCAGGGTTTGCTAGTTATAAATAAATACTTTTATTTTCAATTTATTTATTTGTTAGGCTTTTTGTTATGGGTTCATCATCATCATCATCATCATCAGCCTATTAATGTCCCCACTGCTGGGGCACAGGCCTTCCCTATGGATGGAATAGGGAGATTGGGCCATGACCCACCACGCGGGCCCAGTGCGGATTGGCGGGCGCTAACGACTGCAGATGCAGCCGGGACCAGCGGCTTAACGTGCCTTACGAAGCTCGGAGGAGTTCGAGATGGTAAATTTTTGGTCACCCATCCAATGACCGACCACTGCGAAACTTGCTTAATTTTAACGATCGCAGCCGAACGCGCTAACCACTTGCGCCATCGAGCTCCTTCGTTATGGGTAAATTGCACCAATATTTTAAAATCATATTGAAACCACATTTTATCCGTATTAACTACAGGTACGGCATCTCGATAGATTTACTCTAAAGCGAGTAAAAATGAACGTGTGGACCGCAAAACTCACAACTCGAAGGCTGATTTTTACTCGCTTTAGAGTAAAAATATCGAATATGTGTGCGGACCAAAACCCTTGGATGCAGTGATTTTCCTGTTTTTAAATAAGCGTGTTGTAAGCTTGACACGAAACTTTACTTAATATGAACTTAAGTATTAATATCGCATGCTGGAAACTGTTTAGTCTATATAATATGAGATTTAAAGTTACAGAATATTTAAAGCTCATTTTTCAATCCCTGGATAACATCTCTATTAACGTATTCTAAGTTAACAAGCAAGACAAAATGGAGAGTTGTGTTTATTTGTTAATCATGTTGATATAATTTTATCTAATGGATGACATTTCTTTTTGATTGCGTAGGTAATAATTTATTCGGTTTAACATATAGTTGTACCCGATGTTTGAAATATCAACCCTTAGGTAAGGAATATAACTGAGGAGCTGACGAACAAAACGGTAAAATTAAATAAAATTATTTTTTACAGGAGCTGTATAAAACTGTATGATATACTTACAGTGAGCTTTTGACATGGTTTTTAATTTATAAATTTAGTTATTTTAACACTGCTTTAGGCGGTTTTGATTGAAAATTATTTAAGATTCAAATTCAACGTGCCCGTAATCTCTGGACTGTAAAAAAAAGTTGTTTGACCATATACGTAATTATACCGTTTTGTTAGCCAGCTCCTCAACTTATAATGTGATTGACACGTCTATATATTGTATACTAATGTAGTCACTTGGTCACACATACATTTATCCGAATGTACAAATATTACGAATGTTTCTGGATCAATTTATTTGTGCAAACATTCGTCGTCGGTCGGGTCCAATACAAAGTGCCATTGGCAGAGGTCGCCTGATGAGGTGAATTATTTATACAGAAAGCTTCTGTGGGGTGACAAACCCCGATTGTGTCTAGAGAACGCAAGTTATAATTTATTAATATAAAATATACTTGACACGCATAAAAGAGGTTGTTGGAGACGATAAATTTATATGTGTATCTGAAGGAGCGTACTTACGATGGAGCTAATTCTAATTTTAGCGCATTTTAGTACCAAAGCTTCTACTCCAGGTGTAGGAGAAGCGTCAGGTGAACTATGATTATGGGAGTTATTGATAAAGTTACTTAAAATAAATAAATATCGTCTATGTCTTATATCATACGCACCCTACAAGATAGGGTTGTGACAGCGAGTTGTGATGCCAACGCAAACAAAAGATCTGTCTTCAGGCGATATTCGTTACGTCCAGAATTTGACAGAGGTGGACTCGGGTGTTCCTAGATTGTTTATTTATCTGAGATTTAATAATAATTAAAATGACACTTTTTGTTATTTCAGCATTCAACTGATAGATTTTTTAGGGCATTAAGGTAATTTAAACTTTAAGTTTGTATTTTTGTTGGGGTGAAATGAAGGTTTTATTAGTTTTTGGCATGCAAAGGTTTTTGTCATTGTCCTGCGGAGATAGAAATGCATAAATTTATATCACACTAGAAGACAAAAAAATTAACACATAGGTTTATGCTATATGCCTTGCTTGATACACACTTGATCAGTGTGCGTTGCCCGTGACGAAGCGAAACGTGGTCGTTTGCTATGGATCTCATAAGAAGGCCGAGCACTAGACAATGGAGTGAGCGATGCTCGGTATTTCCTTGCACGATAAAATCAGAAATGAGGAGAATCCGCAGTACTAAAGTATCCGACATCGCTCGAAGGACTGCTCAGCTGAAATGGCAGTAGGCGGGACACGTAGTGAAGAGAACCGATGGCCGTTGCGGCGGATAGGTTCTCGAATGGCGACCACGCACCAGACGAAGCTCGGTGGGGACGTCTCCCACCAGGTGGACCGATGATCTGGTGAAGGTCGCGGGAGGTCTGATGCGAGTGGCGCAGAACCGTTTGATGTGGAGATCCTTGGGAGCCCTATGCTCAGCACTGGGCGTCGTACGGCTGAGATGATGATGATATCTCTAGCGAGGTTGCGAGGGTACGTATAAAATTTTGTGTAAATGTAAAACTTTAATTCACTAGACATTTCGATGTTGGATCTAAATGTCTTTCCAAAACAATGGTGCCAGATTGACCTGGGCACAATGCTTGATGACCTCTGTAGAGTTTTTCAACAAGCAAGTCTTAAAATAAACCTACTCCGGTACAGGTTGCAAACTCTACACTTGAAGTTGTGGACGAGTATGTTACAAGTATGGTACCAGGGACAAATAGTCCAACTTGGTAATTCCAAATCCAACTTGGGTGGGCAGGTACGGGAAGCTACGCAGCATATTCTCGGCCCATTTACCGCAGTGTCTCAAGATGAAAGTCTTTAATACGTGTGTTTTGCCAGTGCTGTCGTATGGAACCGAGACGTGGCCACTCACAATGAGCCTTATAAGAAGATTAAAAGTCACCCAAAGGACAATGGAAAGGGCTGTACTCGGGTTTTCTTTGCGCGATCGAATCAGAAATGATGAGATCCACAAGAGAACTAAGCGACA